CTAGGATGAAGCGGCTTAGTTGGTCTTGATACGAATCAGCACCCTGCCTCAAGTCTGAAATTTTAACCAGTCTTACACTGTCTGGACAGCCACAGCCCTTCCGTTCTCGATAATGATCTTATCAACTTTGGTATTGCAAGCCAGATAAAGATTGTCATGAACGGCACGAGTCGAGTGAACGTATGCGTGGGCGCTGTCGCTTCGTCTTCCAGTCTACAACCACAAATAGTCAGTCATGGACTAATGTTAAATAGGGCCAAAGCTCGTACATCTCGATTAATCCACTTCAACCAGTGTTCAGCTCCGTGGCCGGTACTCAAATCCTGCAAGTCATCGACGACGGGGATACCTTGGGATTCTGCTGCCCTGAGGAAGTCCTCCTTTACAGGGTACGTGCTGATATTTTCGTCAGTGCCCAAGCCTTCAAGCTCGAGCTCCAAGTATGGACTTACTAGTTTCCGAATGAAACCTTGATTGGCCCTTCGAATCCGTGGAGGTCCCTTTTGCTATTAGTAACCCCTCGTCTCCCGGAGTCTGCATGACTTACTTATTATGGCAAGCTCGCTGATAGGTCTCATGCTTCTTCATGAGCGGAAGCAGCTCTTTAGTTGTCCACCCCTTAGCCTGGAAGTCATCGTAGTCACTAGCCGAAGCTCGTGTGTACATCTATAAAGGTTTAGTGCCAAGTGTTTTCTATTAAAAGTCCTTCACGTACTAAGAAATTGATGCTTGAGCCACCTCCTAATACGTGAGCACATGGAACCACCGCTTTCCTACCAGAGAGCCATTTGGACGGACGTGACTCGTAGAATGATGCTGTCTTCGAGTCCAGCTTCATGTTACGGGGGTAAACCCCAGGCCTAAAAATCCATGGATTGTTGAGATTATTCTCGCCAGCCTCGATTAGAAGAACCTTGAGGTTATGGTCTAGATTCGCTAGACTACACAGAATGAGCACACAGACGACACTCTTTACTGTTAGAACTTGAGAATAGGTAAAGTCACGTACCGACCAGCAACTACACATCCACAACTCCCACCACCACAAACGATAATATCGAATTCCTCTGGTAGGGGGCTCATATCTTCTTGTTTCTGATCCCAGCCAAAAATTTTGGAGAACATGTTGTGCGACTGTGCTGGAGGGTGACGGTTGCGTTCTTATGCTTTCTCGAAAGCTGGGCGAGCAGGATCCAAATACTCGTAAGGAGAGGGGGAACCCCTGCACTTGAATAATTCCTTTGGAGCTACCAGTAGTCACTTCGTGGCTACGCGCCTAGGTTTGTCATTAAGCTATATCCTCCAACCGTTCCCCTTTTCCCCGGAAACTGCTCGACCTCTTTGCCAACTCATATCTCGTAGAGGTCATCTGATATTTCGTGATGTAACATCTCTGCATAGGTCCCAATCGTAGAGATAAACTGGTCGGATAGAAGGGAGATACAATACCAAGGGAACGCTCTCCGGCAGCGTGGAAAGGGTCACATTCTTCCAAGAACTAGACAGTTTGGTCCTAATTACCTACTCTCTAAGCTTCCGAGATACCTTACTTCGGGTCTCCCAAGTTGAATTATCCATGTCAGCTCTCCAACTCGTATATAGTAGTAGATAGAGAAAGCCAAGATTGACGTATGGGAGAATTCGAGATGTGATGTCGCCTACCAGCGGCATGCGGCATCTCGGTGAGGCTCGGAAAGTTGGCCTTCACAGCCTTGCGGTCGCACCACCCTTGTCTCTTCGCTCTACTAGGAACTTTTACATATTATCTGCATATTCATCGGCCACTAGGAGATGCAGTTCAGATGTAGCTCGTATGCAAGACAGACGTATAATGCGGGGTGAAAGCCACCGTGAGGTCAAATACCCGACAATCTGTATTACGCCCCATGCTTCCCCGCAGTTTCTTGACTATTATAGATCATCTTTCTTCGTTGGGTCTATCCAAAGGAAGCAACTTGCATGAGTAGTTCGCACCAATAGCCACCCTGCCGTACCTTAGCATTCGATGGAGCTGTCTAACATTATACGCTTTCGTAAGGTTGGCCGGTTCTTGACTTCAGCTTGGCTAGTTATTCCCTATTAGCTCCCGAGTCACGATAAATCTCCAACAGTGACAAGCATAGTAGGCCAACCTGGGATTTAACCTCGAGTGCCTCCATTGCCATGATTTTATGCCGGGTGAGCCGAGAGATCACTTCGACGTTGATCGAGACCAAATTCAACCGGCAACGAGCAGCTACACACCTTAGCTACCACAATGTCGAACTGCCGATTAAGCATATCACTAGGAAATCCTTCCTGTATTACTCTGGATGCAGAACTATCCTCTCGTTGCATTCGATTGCTGCGCTCGACGAGGGGAAATTGGAGAAAATCACATCTCACGCTGCAGCAAATAACCCGTGATTTTCCTTTGGCCAATTCGAACATCGTGCCCTCCACCACTCGAGCTCAAGGGCCAATATAGGGCCCCGGCTATTGTTACACATGCTTCAGACACTCAAGCCCGGAACTATACAACGAGCCTATGAAAAGGAAAGATGGACCGGGTATATGTGAGATTGTCTCGTTGCCTATAGCTACAGATCGTCATTATGATGAATCTACGCGGATACTTTGCGGCATATAGCAGGTCTCCTTGGTAGAGCAGCCCTTACATCATCTACTCCATAAGATATAAGGCTAGAATTGTACGAATACTTGCCAATTACGCCCTCAGAGCTGTACTGCTACGGCGTCGATAGCCTCATTCTCACAAAGCCCTTGCTATTATGTAAGTGTGTATATAACTGGGGGAGACGCAAGACGAGGCGTAGTATAATAGGCAATAGATATGGTTCGCCCTACGATGTAAATAAGACGGTGGCCTGCATATCATATTAGCCAATCGGTATAGTAATATAAATTAGCCCCCACGCCCAGTTGAGTTCCCGGCCATGACCATATCAATGGTTATAGATCCCTCTGCGTCTCGAACCTAGGCAGATGCACATGCGTGTGATAGCTATACCCTTCGTTTATAGTAAAGTCTAATTACCAGGTATCATATCCAAGGACGAGTTGAGTCTTATCTCCTTCCTGAACAATATCATGTACACCTGCGTTAGGTCTTGGTAGGATAGTATACAACTGACGTTCGGGATTATAACAACCACCTATAGAGCTGTACGGTGACATAATATCTTGGAGTCTATGCAACTGCCGTTACAATGCGCTTTGATCCGATGCCTACTTACCCATGGAGCAGGGCCAAACACACAGTACACCGGGATCTGGACATTGTCCTAGTTGATTTATCATATTGTAATTGGTTACGTGAATCTAATCCGGGAATCAAAAGTCCAGGTACCTTCTCGTCTATTCGCATATGTGCCGTATATTGCGAAGGAGAAATCTCGGTGTTGAAAACAAGTCGCATTGGCAACAAAAGCTATTAGATTACCTATCCTTAATCGACACCAATACATGCCTACCTACATTATACGAGTAGTGAAGGGAGGTGACTTGAAGCTATAATGCCTAGCCAGGATGAAGACAGTCAAGACAAACAGTATTATGACTTCTAGTGTGAGTGGTAGGTGTGGATAGGTCATTTATATTGTACCTAGAGTTATGAAGTTAACTGGCCAAGCCTAGCTTTCATGGTGATGCAACAACTAACTACCCTTATTATTGAGTATGCAGCCTTAGGAATATAGTATGAACTGCTCTATTAGTCCATAGCAAACCATAAGGCTGACTGAAGAGACCCGATCAAGATTCGACACGAAGAGATTCCAACATAATACATGATCGTAGGCGCTATGAAATAGGTATCATTATAGATAAGATACATACCTAGTATAAATACAAATGAATTAGGTTCGTCTTACCTGTGTATAAAATTCTTAAGTTTAGATATGGTAGCAGGAAATATCTTTCGTAGAATTTTAAAACAACGAGGTGGTTAATAATGCTTCATAGTAAACGAAAATTCTATCCACAACATCCAGATTCAAGTGGGCCATTTCCACGATATGGCCCGTCTAGCTCACCGGTAGAGCGCCTCACTAGTATCACTTCTAAGTAACTAAGCTCTTTACGAGTTCTAGCTTCGTAGATCTAATACGTGGCAATGAGGAGGCAACAGGTTCGACTCCTGTGATGGGCAACTTTTTGCTATTTGGATCTATTTTTGCTTAACATATTGCCGAATCATTTCTTTTCTTCAGAGCGTATACTCAAATAGGTGTAAAGAAATACGTCATATATGATAGCCTTAGTATTTACTAATGAACTCAATTTTTCTATGGAAGCAATGACAGGTACTAATAGTTAAACCGTATTTATTTTTTGCCTGAGGTTACATGAAACTGGGCACAAGTTCTGCTCGAGTATTCCGTACACTAGACGGAGCTCTTGGCCAATAGGAAATTCAGACAAATGCTAGCTTGGGGATCGGCACAGACTCGCACATACTTCATTCCACACCTACAACCTACTACTAATACTCTACTAAAAAGCCGCTTCATCACGGCAAGATGGCCGAGTTGGTTATGGCGTGAGGTTAAGGTCACCTTAATTCCTACATCCTCATGGAGCAATCCGCGTGGGTTCAAGTCCCACTCTTGTCACTTCCTTTTTGCATTTTTTTTTGCTTTTTACTCTTTAAGTTAATTCAGTAATCTTTTTGTTCCTTTTCACCCTCTCTGTTTTCTTCTTCCGACTTCCAGGATCCTCCCACCCCTCTCTGCCCCTCACTTCGTCACTGAAATTTTTTAATCCTATCCCACTTGATCCTAGCGCACGGTCCACGCCGCCATCTTTTTTTCGTCTTAGGGCTAAGACCGTGTGGAGAACCATTCATGACGAGTTTTGTCCTTTTCGGCTGCCTAGTAAAATCAGAAGCATCTAAATAAGGAATGGCAAAAATTATTCGGCTCTGGAATGCCCACAAATCGCTCAAGATCTTGAGACTAAGCGGATATAATTACAAATAACAAAGAACTTTTCACACAGTCGCCCGGCTAGCTCAATGGTAGAGCGCTGAACTTCTATTATGACTCAATTAACACGTCTTGTGAATTCAGAGGCTGGGGGTTCGAGTCCCCCGTTGGGCTTCCATTTCATTTTTCTTTTTCATCTTTTTGATTTGTCGAACTGCGAACTTTCAAGATCTATTTTTGTAAAAGCTCAACTTCATCTCACAGCACGACTACCTATATAGTAACTTACATCTCAAGCAATAACGTAACTTATCTTACGGGATAGGTATATCTCATACTAACCGCTGGGTTAATCTTTTATTTGGCCAACCCTTTTTCATTCCCTTTGTATTTCTTTCTTTTTCCTCAATGTAGCACTCTTTAATTAGACTCGAGCAGGCAGTTATTGCTAAACACTAACCCATGGCCTAGGGTCCCGATATGGACTGTTCTGCTACTTGTCGTTCGGGTTGATCATCATCACAGACCATTATCCATAGCGCTAAACAATCTACCCCTTCCATAGCGAATTAGCTGTTCTAGTTTTGAATGGTAGTCCGGCATGGTAAGCTCTATGTTTTTTTCGTCCGGTATTTCTCGATCGGAAGCTTCAAATGGAAAAATTCTGTACGTTGCAGCTCCTCCGGGTAGTTGCCGGGTCATAGCTTTATACAGTTTCACTTGTTCGGTCATGGCTCTGCCGACAAGCTTTCTGTGTACAAGGTGAGCCAAGTCGATATTCAAGGGCATTTCCAGTTCGATGTGTTCAAGGTGCTTAAACGCTAAGAAATCCGGGATGATCATGTCGAAGAGAGCTAGAATATACATGCGGTCATCCGATGAATTAGAGTGATGCTGATTGACTCCGATTCCTATTGCGCGGATATTAGGAGCTTCGCGGGAAAGCCAAGCGGAGCAAAAGCCTAGGATATAAGCCAATCCGCGACCATACCTGTATGTGATACCCACCGAGCGAAGACGAGAAGGGTCAAGCACACCGTCACTTACCATCAGGACGTCTCCTTGACGTCCATTAGCGTCTAGAGTGGTGACAAGTTCTAGGTGGGATGCGAAAAGCATATCGTATACTTCATTGTACATGCGCTTGCAGGCCTTGTGAAGACTAGTCAATTTAGGAGGCGCCGGTCGAAGACGGATAGGGCCCCTGCAAATATAAACTTCTGTTGCATTGACGCAACAATATTCGTAGATGGCGTTGCGGATTTTGCCTGGGAGGCGAGAGAAGAATGGGGATTGGAACTGAGCTTGTATGTTGGTGAGGGTGACAGGCATGATGGGCAGAGAAGGTTGTGTTGCTGTTAGTGTTACTACTAGTGTTACCATTAGAAAAAAAGCAAGATACTATAAGGTCTTAACGAGAATGCTGGTGACTATATACTTAGTTACCTTGTATTAGGTATGCGATATGATTTGTCTGCACTTATGATTCCAAGTTACAATATCTTTGTATGACTTGGGTACGTGAGGTGGTATATATTGGAAGTTATAGGAATCATCTCTATTGTTGGTGGATAGCTCTAACGTCTTTGTCGCCAGTTGATTGCTATTGCAATGCATACAAGGGTCATGAACTACCCGTACGTATTGTACCTGGACCTGCTGAATTTCCCCCCTGGGCTCTCAGCTAAGGCTGTCCCACGCCGCTCCGCCTACCTAGGTATATGCATGTGTATTTCCTAACGGGGCAGGAGCCTGAGGTCAAATGTCCAGGGGTCCCCTTTAAGACTTGGCCACTATCTTTTAGGCAGATAAGCACAAGATTTTAGGTCAGGTACAATACAATACACAATACAATAGGTACACAATACAATACAAGGTTCAGCCTCACCTGTCAATCACCTGTTGATTTCAATACCTCCTTTCTTCTTCCTTTGCCTAATCGAACACCTTTTTTTTTTTTTTTTCTGCATCCTAAAACATAAAACAACTATTTACGACCGAATCTATCCAGTGGGAAAAATGGGTAAGCCAGATCAAAAGAAGGCTGACGATGCCGTCTCGTTACGTACCAATCCCGGCGAGAGTTCAAGAGCGACCTACAGCGACGACGACGTTCTCAACATTCCTCAAGTTGTCATTGATGACCTGCCGCCGAATTATTCCGAAAGCGAATCGTTGCTCCCGCCACCCGACGTTGAGACTGCTACCGCCGCTAGCGGCTTGCTCGTGGGTCGGAAGCCATTCGTCGCAGACGCCGAGACGTTCGAGGACTCAGAAACTGGCACCCAGTACTGGATGGCTAAGAGTCTCGAAGACCCGGAAAATCTCGAGAAACATATTCGATCCCTAGCTGCGATACCCCCTCGACCCTACGTCAGGCTTGTCGGAACGCATACCGAGACTACCAGAGACAGCAAGGGCAAGACGGAGAACAAAAAGATCACCGACTTCGACGTTTCGGTAGAAATGACGCCTTATCTCTACTCGGATGTGCAGTATCAGCGCTCGTGGAATAATTTGCGGACCGTGGAGAACGGTGAGGAGGCTCGTCGCGGCACAATACTCAAGAAGCGCGCGCCCGGTTCGAACCAAAGCATCGAGATCGGTGGTACCCCAGAACCTACGTTGCAGGAGTGGTGCCATCGGTACTCTGCTAGCCACGCGGGCTTGAAGGTCTTTACGCTACAACGAAGGATAATCGGCTTTGACGAGGAGGCCGTCAAGGCGAAGCTGAGAGAGCTGGTATACAGCACGAATTACCGCGGCCATCTTCACGTACAGTTCTTGGCGAAGGATGCCCTGATCGAGTGCTACAATGAGTCGTGGGTCAACAAGTGGCGTCTGACGAAGTGGATACGGATGCTGTTCATGGTCACCCTCCTGTTCATCTTCACCTGGCCGTACCTGTGGCTGCGGACCAAGAGGTGGGAGGTTGCCATCGCCGACTGGCATTTCTCGAGGATTCTCGACGACGGCACCAAGGAGTACGTGAGCGTCACCGAGGACCAGTGGTTCAACATGTGGGGTCGGGCTATACATAAGGCGGTGCTGCGGAAGCGACAGGGGCTCTTGGACCAGAACGATCTGGCACGAGCCCACGAGCCCGAACCGGCTTTCGATTCCGGAAACGGGGCGGTCAACGGGGCTGTCAATCTGTTTAGGGCGGGTATCAGCGCTATGGACGAGGTGAACCGGCAGTTGGGATGGGGAGGAGACTGTTAGAACCATCCTCTTGAAGCACGTCATCATCGTCATCATCGTCGTCGTCGTTGTTGTTGTTGGAGTTGTTCATGGAATTTCTTTATTTATGGGAGCGTTATTTTGGGCTTCGGATTTCTATTAAGCTGCGCAGATTTATGGGCGAAGATTTTGATTATCTGTGTTCTTCTCGGAGCGAGATGTGTGAGAATATTAGGAATAGGAAGATGCTGATACTGTCAAGTCAAGGTGCTTAATGAATTCCGAGGACCATTTTCCTAAAATGGGAATAAACGGGGCTTCTCTGTGTTGTCTATTCTAGCTCGTACTGTGTTTTACCACTTAATTTTCTATGAGATGCGCCGTATTTGACTATATTGAGGTACTGTATGTATTGGTAAGACGCCGTCTTCTCGGTGTGGTGATTTCTAAAGCATGAGGGTCATTGACACGAATATAAAATAGGACCTGCGATGTCGATGAATTTTTATGTAGTACCACCAGAGACTCGTCGTTCAACATCTATATTGTACTCGCTTCGATATGGCACCTATTCGCGTTGGCCTTATTGGCCTCTCTTCATCTGCTAAGACCTCTTGGGCTGCTCAAGGCCACTTACCGTATCTTCTATCACCTCGAGGCAAATCTCAATATTGCATTGTTGCTCTCCTCAACTCAAGTGTTGCATCTGCGGAAGCGGCAAGAGAGCACTTTTCACTTCCTTCGATCGTGAAAGCTTATGGCGACCCACACGATATAGCTTCGGATCCGGATGTTGACCTTGTTGTCTGTTGCACCCGGGTCGACACTCATAGCCTCACAACGGGACCGTCGCTTCGGGCTGGAAAAGCCGTGTACATAGAGTGGCCTCTCGTGGAAAATTACGAAGAAGCTATTGCTTTAACAGGTAATCAACGCCTAGACAATAGCATGATTGGACTCCAAGGACGTGCTTCGCCCATTGTTCTGAAGCTCAAAGAGATACTCAAGTCAGGTCAAATAGGCCGGGTCTTGAGCAGCGATCTCCGTGTCTATGGTAATCTCTTACCTAGGGACTCGCTGCCGGAGGGTCTCTCCTATTTTGCAGACCGGAATATTGGAGGTAACCCTATCACCATCGCTTACGGACATACTATCGACTATGTTCACGAAGTTCTTGGGGAATTTGCTTCGTTCCAGAGCCGGATGCAGATACAGCGACCTATCGTAGAGGTTCTGGGAAAGGATGGTACTCGAATTAAAAAGATGGAAAGTGACGTACCTGATTTCCTGGCTGTTCATGGCAAGCTGGCTAAGGGAAAAGCTGATATCGCAGAGGATGCCACATTATCTTTCACCTATAGAAGTGGACAGCAATTCAAGGGCACCCCTGGGTTTGTTTGGACGATCAATGGCGAAGCGGGAGAGATCATGGTAACAGCCAATGGTGCCTACGTACACTCCGATTCTTATAGGGAACCGATTGAGATCAAGATCCACGATCACGCTTCGGACGAGGTGGTGGATGTGAAGTGGGACTGGGAGGACTGGCAAAAGGAGCTCCCGTACCGTTCGAGGATTGTGGCAGAATTATATGAGAGGTATGCGAATTGGTGGAACGATGAGAAGCCTGCTGGGCGTTTGCTAGAGGAGCGGGATTGGCCTCGACTACATGATGCTGTGGTGAGGATGAAAGAGATGGATGAGATGTTTAAGCAGTATGATGCGCAAAGTATATAATTCTAAGGTATAAACTGAGCTCTTTGATATGAAAGTAATACTATTCCGTTGATGCGGCATCAATTTGAATGAGAAAGTGACCGACTAAATCTATTGAACGTTGTTTGGTCGACTCCAATTTACGTAACTACCTGGTGTTCGAATCGACGATCTTCTGGACATATATGGAGTTTTATATCTTCATGGGTAACCTCGGCTCGAAAGTTTGCTTTATAAACATTTCCTTACGTATTCCGTACTTCTAGGTAGTTAGGCTG